AAGAAAAGCTCTATATACATTCAGGAAAATATAATATTTACTCTAGTGCATTTTCATTCGCCTTGAGTGTAATACACTATTAGAAAAAAAACAGCCAATTTATGGATGCCCCACTTCCCCTCCCCTTATGGATCAAATAGCGACTTCCACCATAAAGTTATTTTTAATTCACTCTAGCGCTACGTATAGCATAGTAATGATTCTATTTCTATACTATTTGTTCAAAATCTTAAAGGTCACCGTTTAAACACCACAGTGATAAAATATGTTCACGCTGACTTTGGAGTGCAATGTGTCTTGCTATGTCTGAATGAAGACAAATCATGTAGATCTACTAACTTCAGAAAAGCCTCAAATTCTGACAAAAATTGTGAGTTGCTCAGGGATGTTCATTCAGAAAAACCAGATCTATTACTCGAGGACGTCCAATTTGATCACTACCAATTACTCGATCCTAATAGGGTAAGTATATGAACCGTTCTTATTTAAACACGAAAATAAGAATTTCATCAGTTGAGGGATTGTGGAGTGAAGTCAACCTTGCAAGCCAGGCTCTCTACTTCCGTTTCCCTCCCAAGAACACGCTCCAGCAGGGATCCCAGTGTAGGTCGTCACGTGATACCTTATGTCGCTTTGTTGCGTGGGAGTGTGGGCTATTTTGGTAGTTTTTAAAAAACTCACTCGTGCACCTTTTTCCAAATTACACTCAAAACCCAATTACATTTTATAGCCTATACGGCTAGCTAACTGTATATTAACTGGTTTCGACCATGTAAGCGACGATCTAACCATCTATTTTTTTTCGCCGAAAACACCAGTAAAATGTATAGCCCAACATTTAATACACAGGATCGTAATCATATACAAATCTTAGTATGTTTCATGATGCATTAAATCACGGCGAAATTATGAAGTGGACATCGAAATATAAACCACTTATCCTTGGACATGAAAGTGCAAAAGTAAGAAAAAAGTTATAAAACGTTATAATCATTCTCAGATGGTGCTGCACTTTATATCTCGGCGTATGTGAAAAGAGGCTGAATATATACTAACAATATCGTAACTGACATATACATCTATACTAGAAAATACATGCATGCAGAAACCCTCGCCTTCCTGACAAAACCATTGTATTTTCCGAACATGAAGTATCTAATGTAGTTGTCATGGTAACACGATAATTTTTTAAGAATATTTTTACAAATGAAAAATCGCCTAAAAATATCACTTTTAATTGCAAAATTATCAATTTCCCAACATATATATGTTAGGTATGCTATTATAGGTAATATAAGCTTCAATTCAAGGTACAATTCAACCACAAACGCTTCGCAAAACGTTTTAAAATGTTCTTTATAAAACTAATTGACCATTTGCGTAATAGACTAAATTTTTATCTCAACAAAAATTTCATTACAGCTTGAAAGTGCATCACAAAATTAGTAATGTTCCAAAGTTTCGTTGCAAAATGTTGTAAAATGCGGAAAATATAGCCTTGCGAAATTTGCAATTTTCAGTCATTTTAGATTACAAACCGGAAATTGACAGCCTTGAAGGGTTTGGGGCTGTCAATTTCCCGCTTGTAATCTAAAATGACTGAAAATTGCAAATTTCGCAAGGCTATATTTTCCGCATTTTACAACATTTTGCAACGAAACTTTGGAATATTACTAACTTTGTGATGCTCCTTCAAGCTGTGATGAAATTTTTGTCTAGACTTGTTTAGTTCAAAATTTAGTCTATTACGCAAATGGTCAATTAAAACTGCTTTTAAGACTAATTAAATGGCTTTATCGATAAACTTTGAGTTTGCAATAAAATGATTTCAAATTCTCGCATGTAAATAACTTTGCTTTCTTTTTTATTTATTTATTTACCGGCTGCGAGGTCCGGATGAGAAAAACTGTGCCCTCGGTCTTGAAAACGGCCCGAGCCCGAAACGTGTTTATTTTTTATCAGATGTAAAAATTAAATTTATTAAAATGCCAGTGTTGCTTGCGAACTAATTTGAGATCAGGTATACAGGACGCTAATTAAAAACAACCAAGGTTTTGGGGTGTCACGTGACCAGCCTACACCAGCTGGGTCTCTGCTGGAGTGTGTAAGGGAAGCGGGCCTAGAGTGAAATATTACTCTCAGTAATGAAGGTAAAGCCGCTTGGGAAATATGACCACTTCGAGAAATATTTATCATTTATAGACCCGGAGCGAGGGGGATTCGGCGTAATATTTCCCGAAGTGATGATATTTTCCGAGTGGCTTTGCCCCGAGGAAAATATCATCACTGAGGAAAATATCGCCGAATCCCCCGAGCGGAGGGTCTATAAATGATATATTATACCTAAAGTTAAAGAACTCGCTAAGTTCAGAATAAACTTTTTTAAATAAAACTTGCTGAATATTATAAAATACGCGAATACAATTTTTAATTTCTTATGTATACCTGAGTTTTTGACGTTTCCTCTTTAAAATATTTGAGCATGTATCCTTTGGATCATTAAAGGTAACATACGTCTTGAAAATGTTTTGTTAAGTCAAATATTCTGTACGAAAATACGAAATTACAAACAACAGCTCGCGAACGCCATATTTTTTTCAGAGCGTGGTCTCCACGCGTCACGCGTGAGCTGGGATACTATAATATCCCACGGTGGATCTGCCGTGGGATATTATAGTATCCCACGCTGGATTGCGAAATCATGAATTTGAGTGAAATATCGTAAAAAATCACACTACCACGTGGTACAAATGCTGTTTTTTCATTGGACAATTTGAATTTGAGGTATAATATTTTGACTAATCCCCCAAGCGGACTGGAGGGTCTATAAAATAATGATGAATATATAATACGATATACGATACATATAAGATAGGATAACCTACGTTACATTTTACAACTTTTCTTGTACACGTCCAGAGAAAATTGACGTTCTTGAAGACTCGGACTTTTATTTTTCTTTTGACCTGCACATATAAAGTGTGATGACTGTAATTAACGATCAAAAGCGTTTTAACCACACAGGTACTATACAATGTGTCATGTAAGTATATATCAATACAAAATATTTATAAGATCTTCTAATGGTAACCACGTTGGAGAAAAATACGATCCAACAAAAATAGTTGTTATGAATATTCTTCCAACATGGCCGCCACGATGTTATGAATGTTCTACAAAATAATTTTATATATACATGTAGCTAGGTAAAGTAACCACCAGAGAATTAACGTGAAAAATATTTTATATCACGATTCTAACTCGGCCCACGAGCTGTATCCATATGAGCAGCGTGAATATAGTTAGGGAATTAATATCTTTCAAGCAGACTATCATTTTATTTATTAATTTCTAGAAACCTCCAGAACCAGTCTCAACAAGCACTCCACCTCAGATAACATCGACAACACAAAAATCATCATCAAGTAAGGTTTAAAATCTTAATTTTGTTATAACTACACGACCGACAAGGACTCATTACAGTATATCGGGTTGGCCTAATTTAACCAACTATCTTAATATTTATACTAGGCTATATATTAAAAATTTACTTAATAGGTTAATAGTTAAGAGAATTGCATTTTACTCTGTTTAGCAAATCAAACACTGCTATCATCTTGTAAGGAACTGCTGCAAAGAAACAGGTTTGTGAGTCGCCAACGTTGAAGGATTTTGTAGATGGAAATTTCGAGCGTAAATTGTACACATTCAGTTAGACCTAATCAGGAGCAGGCTAGCAGCTGCGAGAAATGCAAACTATAGGCCCTCTGGCAGGATCCATGCAATTAACCCGCGCCTATGTGATTTCGGTGCAGCGCTCAAACAAACTGAGCTGCAGAGTCCAGTACCAGCATTATTACCGGTCATTATTTATATGGCGGGGGTGGCACAGAAGAGAAACGGTTTGGGTAAACAAAATTTTGAGCAAGTAAAAGGTTGGGTAAATGAAAACCTAACTATGCAGAAGCAGCTGCAAAAAATCCAACTATATGCCCTCGATCAGGAATCCAACCCGCGGCCATGCGATTTCGGTGCAGCGCTCAAACCAACTAAGCTGCAGAGTCCAGTACCATTGTTGTGTGATATAACGAAAACCTTAATGAAAACATTAGATTAGAAATGTAATGGTATATGGTTGATGTCTCGACATTCCAAAGGGACGTTAAGAGGAAGAACGATTTAAACTAAACAGATAGAGCTATTCAATATAATGAAGTTAGTTTAATCAAACTGTGCTTTAATGTTCTCTACACCATTAAACAAATAAACAAAAGAATCAGTAATTTTTATTGGCTTATTGGAAATGTGGGGCAAATACCTTACTAAAAAAATTCTGACTAAAGTTTACACGATCGATGTTATATACAATGGGGTTTTGCTAATATTCACATATAACTTCGTACTATATTTATAGATCACTAAGCAATGGTGTATACCAACTACAAAATACAGATTCACTCGAACAATATCAAGTTTATTGTCACATGACTGAATTATCTGGATGTGGCCAAGGAGGTTGGACACTACTGATGAAAGTAGATGGGAACAAGGTATACGGATAATCTTAGTCTAACCTAATCTCTTCGAATGCATAACCATGGCAAACAATATATAGAGAAATGAGTAAACTTTTTTATTTTGCAGAATGAATTCAGCTACAGCTCTCCTTACTGGACAAACAAGGAAACCTACGCAGTTGAAGATGGACTTGAAGGTTTGAATGAAAAACAGACAAAACTTGCTTCTTACTGGAACACACCGTTTAACAAAATGTGCTTCGGAATGAAAGTCAATGGTGCTATAAAATGGATAGCATTAAACTACACCACAAACTCGCTACACAGTGTGATCGAAGACGGGATTTTCAAAAAAACAACAGTTGGTAAGGAAGCTTGGAAGTCTCTTATCGAAGGTTCATCTTTGCAAGAATACTGTAATGTAGAAGGATTTAATATACGAGGGGTTTACACGCATGACATGTGGCAGTGGAACATGAACATACGAATTGGTTTGGTGGCAAATCAGGAGGACAACTGCGTTAGTTGTGACTCGTGCATTGGCTTTGGAACTTCAGTAAGTGGATGCGAGAATGACGTAAGGAGCACAACGTGCGGCAATATGGCTGTTTGTGGTCAGCTGAGTAATAAAAACATGGCAGCATTTGGATATATACTCGTACAATAGTATTTGCAACGATTCTATGGGAACTAGCTGACGTAGATGCAAAACTATAGTAGTTACTGTAGACAGTACTAAACGCTTGTATCGATTGCACTTAGTATAACTGTATCATGTATTATATATAGGCCATCATCGCCATCGGATATTGATTGATTGTTTGGTTAATCGATTATGGAATGATGAACCATCAAGCGAGTAGCGATTATATAACTTATAGTGGAAAGTTCATTTATTGTATATATTGTTACTTTAAATTGTAGTTCTCTTTCATCAGTTTGTGCTTGCATGCATGCCTGTTTGTGAAAAATAGAATAAAATAAAGTTGACAGGAAAAACTTGTTTCATATTTATTCTGAGGATGGTTCTGAAATGCAGCGCTGTAAATACTCGTTACAATTGTAACGCGTTACTGTGTACTCGTTACATTTGAATTAATTTTAACCTGTATGATTAATTACGTTTTTAGAAATGTAACGAAAAACGTAATTAATTACAAAAGCAAGGAACGTGTTTCTTTTCCAAGGAGCTAAATTGAAAGTTCCTTTTCTTCTTTGGAAAAACAAGAAATAAAAAATACAACAAAATATGGAGATAGCGTAGCCAGGTTTAGACATAATTAAAAACATAAACGTTCTCTGACTAAAATTTTTATTTAAAAAACGAGCTTTCGACTATCTAACTGTAGTCTTCGACGGGTAAAGCGGAATGAATTATTATTAAATTACAAGCGTGCATGTGTTAAGTGATATATATATATATATATATATATATATATATATATATATATATATATATATATATATATATATATATATATATATATATATATATATATATATATATATATATATATATATATATAACAGGAAGTGCAAGATATTTGTGATAATTGAAGCGTCTAGCGATAACATTTTTTATTAACTAGCATAACATATTGTTTCGGAAGTGGCTTAGAATTATTGTCAGAATTTGTTATTATAGCAGTATGCCAAGATTCTAATGTCTTACGTGTCCGATAATTGCCACGATCTATTACTTTCCCATTATCAAAATCAATTATATGGTCCATATCCCATGCATGTTTAGCGGCTAAATTGCAGAATACCCGTCCACTAGTTATCTTTCACTGCGTAGCCAGATTTTCAGTGGCTACGCAGTCACGCGCTATCAAATTACAATATCTAGGAAATACCTCTCCCTTGTTGATATCATGCATGACGTAATTGTAATGAAGCTATATTTTTTAGTGGCTACGTGGCTACGCAGTGAGTTTTTAAAAGAATGGGAGACTGATATAATGACGTAATTACTAAAGTATACTCTAGGTATATTTTTAGTGGCTACGTGGCTACGCGGCGAGTTTTTAAAAGAACGAGAGACTGAGATAATGACGTAATTACTAAAGTATACTTTAGTAATTACGTCATTATATTAATGTCTAGTTCTTTTAAAAACTCACTGCGTAGCCGCGTAGCCACATAGCCACTAAAAAATATACCTACAGTATACTTTAGTAATTACGTCATTATATCAATGTCTCGTTCTTTCAAAGCCTCACTGGGTAGCCGCGTAGCCACGTAGCCACTAAAAAATATACCTACAGTATACTTTAGTAATTACGTCAATATATCAATGTCTCGTTCTTTTAAAAACTCACTGCGTAGCCGCGTAGCCACGTAGCCACTAAAAAATATACCTACAGTATACTTTAGTAATTACGTCATTATATCAATGTCTCGTTCTTTTAAAAACTCACTGCGTAGCCGCGTAGCCACGTAGCCACTAAAAATATACCTACAGTATACTTTAGTAATTACGTCATTATATCAATGTCTCGTTCTTTTAAAAACTCACTGCGTAGCCACGTAGCCACTAAAAGATATACCTACAGTATACTTTAGTAATTACGTCATTATATCAATGTCTCGTTCTTTCAAAGCCTCACTGCGTAGCCACGTAGCCACTAAAAAATATACCTACAGTATACTTTAGTAATTACGTCATTATATGAATGTCTCGTTCTTTTAAAAACTCACTGCGTAGCCACTAAAAATATACCTACAGTATACTTTAGTAATTACGTCATTATATCAATGTATCGTTCTTTTAAAAACTCACTGCGTAGCCACGTAGCCACTAAAAAATATACCTACAGTATACTTTAGTAATTACGTCATTATTTCAATGTCTCGTTCTTTCAAAGCCTCACTGCGTAGCCGCGTAGCCACGTAGCCACTAAAAAATATACCTACAGTATACTTTAATAATTACGTCATTATACCAATTTCTCGTTCTTTTATAAAAACTCACTGCGTAGCCGCGTAGCCACGTAGCCACTAAAAAATATATACCTACAGTATACTTTAATAATTACGTCATCATACCAATTTCTCGTTCTTTTAAAAACTCACTGCGTAGCCGCGTAGCCACGTAGCCACTAAAAAATATACCTACAGTATTATACTTTAGTAATTACGTCATCATATCAATGTCTCGTTCTTTTATAAAAACTCACTGCGTAGCCGCGTAGCCACGTAGCCACTAAAAAATATATACCTACAGTATACTTTAATAATTACGTCATCATACCAATTTCTCGTTCTTTGAAAAACTCACTGCGTAGCCGCGTAGCCACGTAGCCACTAAAAAATATACCTACAGTATTATACTTTAGTAATTACGTCATCATATCAATGTCTCGTTCTTTTATAAAAACTCACTGCGTAGCCACGTAGCCACGTAGCCACTAAAAAATATACCTACAGTATACTTTAGCAATTACGTCATCATACCAATTTCTCGTTCTTTCAAAAACTCACTTAGCCACGTAGCCACGTAGCCACTAAAAAATATACCTACAGTATACTTTAGCAATTACGTCATCATACCAATTTCTCGTTCTTTCAAAAACTCACTGCGTAGCCACGTAGCCACTAAAAAATATACCTACAGTATACTTTAATAATTACGTAGCCACTAAAAAATATACCTACAGTATACTTTAGTAATTACGTCATCATATCAATGTCTCCTTCTTTTATAAAAACTCACTGCGTAGCCTCGTAGCCACGTAGCCACTAAAAAATATACCTACAGTATATTTTAATAATTACGTCATTATACCAATTTCTCGTTCTTTCAAAAACTCACTGCGTAGCCGCGTAGCCACGTAGCCACTAAAAAATATACCTACAGTATACTTTAATAATTACGTCATTATACCAATTTCTCGTTCTTTTATAAAAACTCACTGCGTAGCCACGTAGCCACTAAAAAGTATATCTACAGTATACTTTAATAATTACGTCATTATACCAATTTCTTTATACCAAGTTCTTTCAAAAACTCACTGCGTAGCAGTTACGCTTTAGTCCCCGAGCCGGCGTACTAATTCCCCCCGGCTATTTACACCCGGGGAAACGAAAGCATTAGCGGAGTCTAAAGTTCATCAAATATCGCGGGCGTGAGTGACCAACGGTGTTGAGTGGGTGGTCATCCTCACTGATCTCAAAAATATGGCGGACTGTCATGGATAGCGAACACTGATTGGTCAAATTTAAAATTTGTTGTTGTTGTATGACAAATGACGACTTCAACTGACAGATACTCCATGAAAATAATTTGCTTTTTACACTACAGTATTTTGTACGTTTGCAAAAAACTTTGACAGCTTTCAAAGCAATTTGTTCTATAAAAAGTTTAATAAAACAATTACGGTATCAAATACCAGTTGAAAAGATATGCATGGAGCCAAATGAAGAGCGGCAAGGAAACGACAAGAAAGCCGAACGTCTAGCGAAAAGGAGGGAGCGAAGACGACAACGTTTGCTCGAGGAGACTGCTGAGGAAAGAGAAGCTCGCCTGGGAAAGCGTAGAGAAGCATGGAAAAGACTGCTGAGTGAAGCGAAAGGTAAGAAAAGGCTTGTCTTCACAACGCTATGTAGTAATCTACTAATGTTACTGTAGCTATACGAGTTGAAGTATGATATTCGACCCTCCATATTCGACTGTTTCTTCACAATTTTCCAATAAAGAGTTTGTCAAGACACGCTCAAGTCAGTATAACCAGACTGTATTTTATTTATATCAGTTATCACAGCCACAGGCAATTTTATGCTGTCAAATACCGTCGGTTGCAACTAAAGGTGAACAGTTGCAGATAAAACATTCTCTATTCTCATTAAAAAGCCTCTAAGGGTTTCCAGTAGGTCTCTAGCCCAACACGTTCAGACCACACAAAGTTTTTTTTACTTATTATTGTACACATGGGAAACAACAATTAAGTGTTGTTGTTCTTGACAAACATTGGAGATTCTAATCACGCAAATGTTTTTATGAGCAACTGTTCATCGTTAGATGCAAGCGACGGTACAACATACTATGAACATTTTCCCGACTGTGACCGAATGTGCAACGATATAATTTTCAAAGTTGTTATCAATTCCTAAAATTTGTTTATAGTAAAACGGCCTGCTCAGCACTCACTACTCACGTTGATCTGATTTCATTTAGAAATGCAGTTACCGGGAAAGGAACTGATTCTAAAATATGTAAATTTAAAAGCATTGGCTAACAGAATAAAGCGATCGGTGAAGACAAGGTACAAACTTTTATAGTTGCTATTTGTTATAAAATCCTATAAATAAACCGATTCAACAATCATTTTGCCTCGAATTTGCATATTCTATGCTGCATGTCAGAGGCTGCATGTTTATATTTTATTTTTATAGTATAAAAATAAAATTGTAATACTATGAAATAAAAATACATTTCTGTTTATTGACCAGTACTTATTTAATGTCTTCTTCATCCAGTGGTC